TTATCAGTTTCCAGAAATGGTCATTAGTGGGAATTCATTCACCTGTGTCCTCTCATCCTGGTGAAGCCCATTAGTGATCACTATGGGCTGGATACGTGAAACCAGAAACCATTACTCTATCTCATACAAATCAGCTGCTGCTTGAAGTTACTTCATGCTTCAGGAGCTTCCCCCCGACTCATTTAGAAGAGCCCTATAGCATCGACAAACCAGACAAACTAATGAACTTACCTGTTTGTCACATGTTAGTGACACACAACCTTCTTTCAGAGCGAGGTTCAGAGATGCAATCGTTTCTCCAGAAAAATCAGAGTTAACACCTTCCTGCTTGCTCCCATGCTGGCAACTCGTTACTGCACCAGGAACTGTTTCGACCAGCTCAGGCACCTGAGGGGTTTTCAGCCCGGCCGCAGAGCCGCTCCGCTCCGCGCGCCGTGGGGCAGGGGCAGCGCCGCCAGCCGTGTCCCGGAGCAGCTTTGCTACTCGGCTGCATGGGCATTGCCCCGTAGTAGCACAAGGTTTCCTCAATTAATTCCTTGAGCAGCTCAGCCAGCTTCAGTGATAAAATGGGTGCACTCCAATCCAGCTAGCTTGCCTACCTAATTACATCTAAACTTTAGGTGCCCGTTGAATCAGCCTTACTAAAGTAAGTTCCCTAATAGCCAGTGGGGAAGCTAGGTGCCTTTGAAAACCTCCTCAGGGAATGCCCTAAATTAGAAAGGCAGGATCTCCCCTCGGAGCTGCTTTTACAGGCACCTACCTCTGTACTGACAACGGAAGGAGTTTAGGCATTTAATTCCAGAGAACTAGTTCACTGTGCTCAAAACACAGGTGCTAATTAGCTGCCTATGTCTGCCTGAACCTTCCCCTCTAGCTTCTGAGTCATGTGTCCTAAAATTATGTAATATCCTACTAACATTTTTTAAAAAAATGTATTCTGCACTGCAAGCAGATCAAAAATTAGGAATAGTGTAAGAGAGGATTTAAAATGGTAATGCCAGGACCACACGTTCCTGGGAGCTTCAGCATCATCCCACGTTCACCACAGCATAACCTCAGTGTTAGAGGGAAAGCAGGGCACTTTTTTGACCCAAACCAGTCATTCCAGCCCCATTCCCTGGACTGGCACCTACTCTAGAGCTCTTCTCTGTCCAGGCACCGGAGGGGGAACCGTGGAGAGTCTCTTCCCTTGGCAGCAGCAGCCCCACGGCCAGGACTCGGCCTTGGGAAGGCGGAAGTGGTGGGGAACGGTTAGATAAAATAATAGCAGAAACCAGTTACAAAAATTTATTTGAATCTTTTATACTACTGTGGAGACTTGGCATCTGAAATAGTAGCAGCATCGCTCCCTACAAATTTTCAATGCCCTTCAGGTAAAGGAGCCCATTCTAATTAAAATAGATTTTACAAGGAGAAAATAAGTTCTTAGAGGCTACACGAGGCTTTTTGGTGCTTGAGAACTGGAATTTATGACTTCATAGATTATAGTTTTCATCCCATCAATGTTTTATAATGCTGCTCCAAGTTCATGCCTGACACAGCCCTAAATAATTTAAGCAGAGTTAAAGTGGGGATAAATTTGTCCCAGTGGATGAGACGGTGAGATGGCATTTGGAGCACAAGTGTAGGCCTCCCCGATGGCACCACATACACCCTGAAGCCAGAAACCAGCCCCACCGCCCGCTCACCTACACAAGATTGATCAGTCCGTGGCTTTCCTGAAACTCTCTGAGGTCTGATACACCATGAAATGCCTCCCTCATGTCAAAAATATGTACCTAGTATGTTATATTACTCTATATATGCAGGCCATGTTTACTTAAAATGAGTACACTTGAGCTACTCTAGTCATCAAGGTTGATGGCTGAATGCTTTTTTATATTTTTTACCCAGATATTTTAGTTGAAAGCAGATTATTTTTCCCAGGAATAATCCCTATAGCAAGATATTCCTGTGGCTTTGATCTGTTGGTCATAGGAGAGTAGCAGAGAGGATTGGGAGGGATCCTCTGAGCCACAGTCTGTGTCTTAGAGGCAACCAGGTCACAAAAACCCATGCGGAAAGGGCAGCAACCTCCATTTCACCCCGTTAGGCTTTCTGACCCTCTACCCTAAGCAGGTTCACACACCCGCTAGGGAAGTTAGACAGACTCGTCTAATTCCCAGTCAGGGCCAGTCTGTATGGTTTTGTTCCTGTTCTAGATTCATCGTTAGTTGAAAAAGCTTCTCTGCAATGTTGCCAAACCCCCACTGTCCTCTTTTGTATACGTGAAGAAGAATTATACTCCTACTCGGTCTTCATTTTGTTAACATTAGCAAGTCCACCTGTTTCAGCTTTCTATTCATCTCATCATCTGGGCAGCCCATCTCCAAGGAGTTTATTCACAGAACGAGCTCTCGGAGAGAACCTATCGGCTTTCTAATTAAACAAAACTGCTGCAAATGCAGCAGAAAGATGAAACAATTTAGTGAAAATTAAATCTTGGCATTTGCTGGCAAAACTTATAATGAAGAAGTGGAAAACACCATCAATCTTCCAGTTTGATGGGGGCAACATTTTATCAAGGGACTGTGAGCAATGCACATCTCGCACCCAACTAATGAAGGCCTGTTGCTGATCAGATTTGCCTTATAAGCACAATAAACACAACACCATAAGTAAATGACTGGGGATGTGGTAGCCAGCTGTGAGAAAAAAAAAAAAGAAATATTTAGCAGATATCTGCTACTTAATGCTAAGGTGAACCTTGGAGAAATTCAGATCTATTTGGGTTATAGTCCTCTCTCAATCCATGGTTGTGTTCCCCAGCATTACTGCTGCTCTTACCTGAGTTTAACCTCTTACCCACTCAATAGATTTGCAGTAAATTGCTTCTCCACTTGGTCTTCAGCTCTTCTATTCTTTGCTGTCTCCAATTAGTGACCTTGGCTGTTTTGGTTCTCATAATCTTTCTTCCCTTCTTTCTCCCTCCATTCTTTCTTATTAAAGAAAAGTCCCATGGAATGTAATGGGAAACTTGATAAGCATTCAGGTCCTACCTGATAATGTATCCTACAGCACCCTTCAAGACACAGAAAGAACAGCAGTATTTACTATGAAGTTTTTATGTTTACAATGATTTCTATAAAATTTCTGCTTCTATTCCTCCCAAATGGCAGAGGACTTTTCTTTAATATCACAAAATAAAACGCTGAAGATCCAGCTGATCTACTGGCTCTCACAATATTTCTGCTGGATGTTACATTCACTTTACCATTGCAAAAGCCCAGCACCTGGGCCTGGTGCTAGCTCCTACAATATGATGAGTAAATGCAAGAAAGAGAATGTACTGGAGCAATTTTGGCTTATTTATGATGCTGATCACAAAGAAAAAAAAACTTAAATTATTAAGAGTAATTTAGATAAAGATTATCTAAGCACATTCACTTTTTTCATCAATAGAAATGATTAAAATACTGTCACCAAATTGTAGTTAGAAAAATATAAATACGAAGTATGCAGAAACATACTAGGTCCTCATAAGTCTTAAATATCAATATTAGATAAACGTATACCTCTGGGAATAATGCAGGCAAGTAGAGCTGCTTTTCCATTCAAACATTGATATTTTACTAAATTTAGTGAGCAACTTCTGAGGTTTGAATGAGAGAGGAGGTTGAGTGGTTAATTTGGAAATTGCTAAAACCCACAAGAACCCTTGCAATGTGCATCTGCATTCTGATTTTAGCATCTGCAGAGCTAGAGTTTGGGAAGCTGCATCATTGCCACATTTCTGACAGAAGTGCCCACGTTTGCACGTTCCGCTACCACCCTTGGGCGAGCAATCACTCATCTGTCTTCCATGTAACTCATGTAAATCTCTATTTCAGTGCAAAAATGTAAAGTTCTGGGCATCTGAATGACTGCACATACTGTACCATCAGCTGGCTTTAGGTATCATCATAAATGTTTGACACACCAAAATAACGAACACGTTCTTTTTTACTTCAAGAGCTCCACTATTTACTAGATAGTTTGTAATATCAGGTGAGCTCAAGCCCCTAACAGCACCGACTGCAGTAAGTTTAGTGGCATAACTAGATCCCTATTAATGGAGATCGAATGAGGATGAGCTTTGCCAGCATCCTAAATTTAAAAGTTCAACTGATAGAAAATTTTGAAAATTCAGCAAAGGAAAAGCAGAGCGAAGCGAAGGGAGGAAGAGGAGAGGAGAGAAGATGAAAGTGAAGCTCAGGCAGTTTCTCAGACTGCAGAGAGGCTGCTTTTACTTTTGAGACTATTTTGCCTTTTTAATCCCTAAAATGTGAAATTAGCCTGTAGTAGAGAGATTCCTTGCGGGTAGCACAAAAACAGCACATTCATCCAATTACAATAAAAAGGAAACCTGCTCATAAACGCAAAGTCTTCACGCAGTCAGAACTCATCCAGAAAGTTCATGAATTCACCCGTTTCCATCTGCTGTCATTCATATGTCTTTGCATTGCAGAGAGGTGTCTTATGTCTCAGTGGGTTATTGTTTAATGGGCTAATGCACATTTTCTGCATGAAATGGTGCTGTGGAAGTTCTGTGGAGGAGTATGTTACTGGTGGAAAAAAAAAAAAAAAAGAGTACTTCCAAATACTAAAAAAAACCCTTCTTGGTCTCTTGGTGATAGAGAAGGTCAATTTCATGCATTGATTTGAAGGGAGTTGCATCAGGCCTTGAATAATTTATCTCACAAGAAATAAAATATAACACGTGCTATAGAACAACCACCTTGCTGCTTTATTTTTGTGTTGTTTGTAAACTTGGAATAAAATTTTGCCCCGAAAGAGCAAATGAAGTTCTTAATTTTGAGCACAGAGCTGTTTGTACATCTCCTAACTGATGCAACCTCTTTCTCTCACAACCAAAATTAAAGCACATCATATTGTAAGAAAATGATTTATTTTTAAAAAAACATTGCTTTAAATGCTGCATCCCAGCAATGCTCTTTGACTCTGTAATTTTTTGTTGCTAGCTGGTGAATGAGCAACAAGAAAGCAGACCCCTTCTGAGCCCCTCCATTGACGACTTTCTCTGTGAAACTAAACCAGAAGCTGTTGCAAGGCCTGTAACCTCCAATACAGCAGGTAACCAAAACTCTGCATTATCCTGCAGTAAGCAGAAATAATTTCAGTTTCATTTTAACTCTGGTGTTTTTTGTCAAGTGATTTCTTTTGGTCTCTTAGAAAAAAAAGTTACTATTTTCACAAAATTACAGGCTTTTCTTTAATTATGAATCGACTAATCTGTCACTAGAAAAACTTAATTAATAATGTTTGAATGCAAATCTGCTGACATCTCCATCGCATTTTCTAGCAGATTTCAGTGCTGAGGAAAAGGGAACCATCAGCAGGGAGAACATACAAGCTCAGCAAATCCTCAGTCTGTTGTTTTCACAAAATTTTAACCAATGGGGAAGCTACATTTAGGTCAGTTTTTAACTGGACCCATTCCTTATTTTAGAAAGGCTTGCTTTAATAAAAAAAAAATAGGTGAGAAATCAGGGGACGAAGAGCTACCAGAACAATTTATTCAGGTTACATTCCCTTCTGCACTGAAAAGAATACATTTACTCCTGGTTTCAGAGGTTTTAATTGTGAAAGGATCTAACAGATTTCTTAGCATCTTTGTGTTTCGGTGGGATAACAAAACAGTTATAAAGAGGAAGAGAAAATCCTGAATGCAATCTGGATTAAGCAAGGAGTATTGCTTTTTAGAAGTGTTTTTAGAAATGGGCTTGCTCCTATTGGGTGTTTGTGCAAAGGTTATCAAAGCAGTTGAGCTGATCAACTGAGAAACAATCTGTTTAATAGCACTATTCTATTGCTATCTCATAAAACTTGACTTGTTAGAAGCCATTTAATTAAAATCTATATACATGCAAATTATGAAAATGAATAATTATCAGTGGCATGATTATCTTCACATCTAATTAATGTGTCACACAAAATGCAGGTTTTACTGACAGAAAGTGGAACATTGAATTAAATGAAAAATTGTAAATACTATTTTTTTCTTTGTATATAGGCAAAGACACTACAGAAATGAATATAAATATTTCAAGTCACATAAGACTTGTATTTGTTGTAAAAAAAAAATATCTGTAACTCCTGCATCTGCCTTTGATATCTATCTGATTTGGGCGTGGTTAATCGTGTTCTTAATAACAATATTAAACTTTGTTGCACTGGGAAGATTGGTGAAGTTCAGTGATTTCCCAAGAACACAGCCAAAGCATTCAAGTGATTGTACAAAATGATCTGTCAAAAACACCCATCCTATAGGCTGATAAAAAAGTGAAAGAGCTTGGCTGTTGTAAGAGCTAAATCATTTAAAATATTACTTTTTAAACAACTAGCAAATGAAAAAACAAATCAGACTGAAGCATGCCTTATATATTGGTATAGTCCTATATTAGAGATATCAATAGAGTTTATTACCACATCTGTCAATGTTCATCCCCCCAAAGACCAAAAGCCACAAGCAACAACAGTAGAAGCAATTACTAAGCATACTGTTATGGACCTAAAACCAGGCAAATCTGGGGCAATTTGGGTTGTTTCTGGGAGGAGAAAATCATGTTAGTCTTCTGTGCTATGTCCGTTTGTTATTTCTTGGGATGTCCTGTTGATTTTAAAAATATTTAGTGTCCTGTTTCTTTCAATACAGCAAAAATCTTTACTGCCACAATCTCCAGCCCTGTCCGGGCAGGCTGTGGAGCCACAGCTCTCTCTTTCCAAGGCTCACTTGGGAGCACTAGGTTTGCCTGTGTTTGCAGCTTTTCTAGCATGACTGCTTCTTCCTCACCTTGCACAAATCTTCTGCCTCATACAGACATGGCCTTCAGAAAAGGGTGACATCTGTTCTTCTTTGCCACCTTTTAACTCATGGGCAAATGCTATTTAGCTCTTGTTTTCTCCACATCCTTTCTTAACTATAGAAGGATTAATTTTCATTAACTCTGTAATTACTCAGTTTCGTTCCCATATTTGTGGTGGAGTCTGCTTCAGTTCAGTTACATTAAGGACAGAAAGCACATTTCGGACTATGATTTTTAGAGCAGTGTGAAAGAGGCCAATCTGTCATTGAACTAATGAGAGTTAAACATGCAGATCTCCTCTGTAGTTTTAAAACTTCATGCAGAAACATTGAGAATACAAATATCATATAATATTTTACCATAAATGAATAGTTCTAGGAAACTAAGATGAGTTGCATAAGTATGAAAAAAAAAAAGATTAGTTCAGAGTATCATTTTTTCAGGAAGATTTTTTTAAAGAAAGATATTTTAAATGTTGTTTAATGAAAATAAACATAACTTAGCACCACCGAAAAGCATTTCTGAATGTGAAGTGTTAGAGGCAGGTGTCCATTTCTCAATTTTGTGATGTGCCTGTGGCATATCAGTCACGTCCTAAGCAGCTATTAGCACTACCTGGTAATCTATTAACACTAAGTCACATTTTATTTGCAATCTCAATTTTACCAGAAATACTCCCATCAAAAGAAAAGCTGTGGACTAAGATTTTCAAAAGTGACTAATATCCATAGCTAAAGAAGATGTTTTAAGAGAGGCTGATTTTCAGAGGGAAAGCCTTTTATGCAAATCAAGATATCTTAAACTGAATCAAGTTAAGCACCTAAAATTATTAGCCATATTTGAACATGCTAGCCATCATCTTTCGTAAGGAAATAAACACTTACTATAGTCAAATGCACATGCATTAACTTAGTAATTTTTTTCCAATTAAAATAGAGATTAACAAATGTGAGCTACTTGAATTAAAACAATATTGAATTCTAACATTTTGTCTCTAAGTGTTATCAACAGCTTTGGATCTCTTGGATCTTAGTGAACCTGTGTTACAAACTCAAAACAAAGCAAAGAAATCAGAGAATGCATCAAGAGGTGAAGGCTTAAAAGCTTCAACCCACAGAAAGAAGACAGACAATTCTGACCCTGTCAATGCGGATACTGAGCAGAAAGTCCAGACTGTTAGAGTTTCAGACAAGTCTTCACTAGATTTAGGTAAGAGTGTAGTTGTTTTATCAGTGCTACACAGCCTTGCTTAGCACCAATTTCTCCTTGTTATTATCACAAAGTAACAAAAAAGCGCAGAATTTTCATTTCATCACACTTTAGCAGGGAGTGTAAACTTTGCTCCACCTTGTAAAACCACTGTCATTGTGAGCACGTTTTGCCAATGACTTGAAGATGCTACTGCTGAGGGTAATGTAAAGGATACTTGGGGAAGAATATCTATTTCCTATTTTTGATACATTTTACTACAAATTTAATACACTTCTCTCCTGAAGATATATCTTCTTTCATCACTATTAAGATTTCAGTAAATAAAGATTTGCATCCCACCTGAATAGACTCTTTCAAAAAAAGAATATATCATGGTCGATAAAACAGCAGAAGAATCTGTAGAGGTATGAGAAGCTGGAAAAGGGCCCAAGCCAGAGGTAACTCACATTGGGTGTCCTTTACAGAACTGCAGGTGTCAAAAATACACATTGTATTTGTAATATAGTACTTTAGACATACTGGAGGAAAAAGTTCCATTCTTGACAGAAGAGCTATGTTCATACAGATAGAAAGAAAGAAAGAAAGAGAGAGAGAGAGAGAGAGAAAGAAAAAAAGAAAGAGAAAGAAAGTCAGCACAACTCAATATCCTGCCAAGCATGATCCACAGATGAGCTTTGGAAAAGATGAATTTAATTCAGTTACATCCAAACTGAATTACTTGCATTCCAAGTGCAAAATTTGCAAGATAAATATGATTGATATCAAAGTAGCAAAATGTCCATTCATCAGCACAGAAATTCTATTGAGAACTTTATTGTCAGACAGGAGCTGTACACCTGATTTTTGCAAACCAAGGCAGACATAGGACTGTATAATATTAGCTAGCTACACAGTCAGTTTTAAATCATAGCAAAGCTACATTTTTACAAATTGACCTATTTTTTAATTAGGAAAATAAAAATATTAAATATTATCACAGAGCTATTATAATTTTATCAACAGATATAAATTATATAGAAATCACTGGCTTTGAGTCAAGAGCTCCAGTCACATTCTGACTGACTATGAATGCTTTATTTTCTGGCCATTAAAATCTACATTTAGAAAAATGATGTCAATTCTCAATCATTTTCAGAGCATTTATGCTAGAAAGCTGTACAACATTCTTATGGATTACACCTTAATTAAAACATTCTTTTATTACTTAACTTCACAATTTCCTCTATAACCTACATTTAACAGAAGAGAAAAAAAAATCAGCGCTAGATTCTTTAACAGATTTATGTTTTCTTTTCCTGTTTTTCAGTTGATATTCAGACACAGCTAGAGAAATGGGATGAGGTGAATTTTCATGGAGACAGGAGCAGCAAGGGTCACCCATCTACGGAACGGACATCATCATCCAGAGCTCCATCAAAAGAGCTTTTGTGGTAAAACGTTTTGCTTTCCTTACAAAAATACTTCTAGTCCAGCTCTCAGTTCACAGAAATGATAACTTTATGGCAAGTCATAGCGTTATTAAATCTGTTGTCATTATACTAAGAGTCTTCAGGCAGACGTTTTAGACTGTGTTATAAAATGACCTTTTCCCAGCAATTTTAGCGTTTGGAAAAGTAACAAATGGTGGTGAGAATTCTATAGACAGATACAATGATCTATAAACAACCAGAAAAATGTGAATAAAATGGGTAAAATAGGATATTTTGCAGTGATTTGTCCATCACTGGCTGCCCAGTTCAAATTCTTTGACAACAAGAGGGCAGAAGTTGTGTGAGGCACAAGAAAACATCCAAGCCAAGTATTACCTCTCGTGCGCTGTTGAGCTGAAGTTTCAGATGCTATAAATGAGGAAGAAATGGGCTTTGCCTTTCAGAACAGTCCAGCAGTGTTCAATTCTGCTGCCTGCTTTGTGTGTAAGCTACAGTTGTTCAGTGCATCATGCATGCACAGACTTGCCATTAGCATTGTCACACACCTGGAGCAGGTTTCTCACCAGCTGATGGGGAGCCTGTACCTCACCTTGCCTCTTACCTGAGTGTTTCCTTAGCTTCGAGCTCTGCACAAAAGTTTTGGTCAGTTAACCTGGTTGTTCCACAGGGTTTCAGTTTCCAGGACGGAAGGTTGCTGGGATCTTGTGCCACAAAAAAAGAAGTGTGTGAACCAAGTTGAAGTCCTGTGTTATGGTGGTTGGTTCTCAGACACTGCATCTTGTCACGGCCTGGTGATGCTGCCTAACCCTCGTGTGTCTCATTTTCCTGCGCTGTGAAGTTGAAGTATAGGGGCACAAGCAAAGTCTCTAACCCATCTTACTAGTTTCATACCAATAGAAATCCAGGACTCTACTGCTGAATCAGGCCCAACTGTTCTTCGCATTGACTAGTGTCTGCATGGCACTGAAAAACAGAGCAGTGGGAATTCTGAGAAGGGTGCAGGCACTTTTGATATCAGCGAGTTAAAGAATTCGGCTAAAAAATAGCCCAATTAGTCAGTGTATACTTATGAAACTGGCAGACAGAAGGCAGCGTTTTTAGTGTGCAATGATGAATATGTAATGTTATTTATAGGTCCACGGAAAACAGATCACAGTCTGAGCTGACAAATGTCAAGAGTGCCTTGGATTCCGATTCAACATCAGATTTAGAACTAGCACCTGCAACACAGGTAAGAGAACTTAGCAGATTCAGTAATATTTTTTTTAGCAAAAAGGAATTGTCCCACTGGGTAACATTCTGGAAGAAATATTTAAGGGAAATTTCAGGATCATCAGTTAAAAGACACACACAGCTGAATCTTCACACAACTTCCAAATTAAGATTTTAAGAAACTGAAATAACTGTGTCACCATCTCAACATTCAGTATTTAATGTTGCGGTGAGCTGTGATCCTCCTGTACAGAGAGAAAGATTTCAATCTAGAATTTGCTGCAGTGTCATCTTTCCCTTCCTCCAGTTCTGAAATTCTAACTTCTCATGGTTCCCTTAATTTGTTAGATACATTTTGCCAAGGTCTCTTGGTCAGGCAGGAATCCCCAGCATTGGGAAACTGCTAGGGAATGCAGGAAGGAATCCCTGGGCCCATGTTCATTCGTGGTTCCTCTCCACAAATGGGGGGCAGTGTGGTCACATGAATTTCTCCTGCTGCAAAAAGCAGCTCTTGTAGGATGGGCTGCAGGCTGAAGGTGTGTAGATTTTGTCAATTCTGGTGTTATATGGCATATTGGACAGGTTTTTCTAGAAGTGATTACTTAAAGATATATGGTGATTTATATATATATATATATGCACACAAATATATACATATGTATGTGTGCATACAAACATACATTTATATATACATTCACATACTTCAAGTTGCTTATACACCCTCTTTTCTGGCATATCCTGCTTTTCATTTCTTAGCTGAACAAGTTCAAGTTCAGTCTATGCCACTGGTGAGGGAAGGAGAAATCTATTTGGTGGATTCAGTTTTAGCTGAAAATAATTTTCTTCTCTTCCACTGCTCTTTTTAGGCCTGGCCTTTCTGTCAGATGAAAACTTTCTGTCAGATGAAAACTTGGGAAATTAATGGAAATTAATAGCCTTGTTTTCAAAATAGAAGAATGAGAGACCAATATACTGAGTGTCTTTACTAAGATCATGTGGCAGGTTTTGTAGAGACAGAAAATAAAATCCAGTTCTCAGGATCCATTCCTATGTTTTCATAGGGGAATTATCCTCCTTTCCTTCTCTGCTGTCTGTACGTTACAAACATGATTCTTTTTCTCCCTTTGGAAATCCTAACACTGATTCTAATGCATGAAATCTCCTCTTTCTTTACAATAAAATTATATATCTTAGTAATAGAGAAAAACGTATTTCCTAGCACAGTCCATTTCCATGAACTTTAGTTCACATGCTTTATCCTCCTTTTTAGGAGGATATTCCTTAGCCTAAGAAATCCAAATGTCAGGAAGGGCTGTTTCTAAATGCTCATTCTAAATGTGTGTAAATCAGACACTCATTGCAAATCTCTACTACGTCTCTACTTTATAGAGTGTCTTACCAATTTATCTTCCCGTAAAGTAATTGTGGAAGCAAAAATCTCCATTTTTAATTCAGTACAGGTTCAGTCAGTTCAGACTCCATACTCTTTTGTACAATGGCTAGTATATCAAGATGAAAAAAATGCTAAATTGAATTGACCAACCTGAAACAGTTTCTCATAACCATCACTTTTTTTTCCATCCTGTGATCCACTCCAGGCATGAAACATTGTTGAACTGTTAATTAGGTGTGCAAATACAGGTAACTGACCTGAAGACCACCTTCTGAGACCACGTGTTTATTCTTGATAGTTTACCAAGAAATGTAGTATTTTCAACCAGCTTCGATTATCCCTGCTGCTGGTTCCCAACAACCAGGCTCATCTCTCCTACAGAATTCTTAATCCCTTGCTTATAAAAGAAATCACATTCAAGCTTCTATCGAAGTATATATTCCCCAAATTGTGTCCTCTGCAGATCTTGTCTACCTCATCTAAGGGTAATCTTCACACACGCAACTATCCTGCCATACCCTAGAGCTTTCCTCTTGCAAAACTTGCTGCCGTTTGCCATCAGCAGTTTATGAGACAATCACCTTCATCATTCATCTTCGACATATTAACTTTAGTTCCTCAAAGGGAAATGCTAAATAAATGGTTCAGATTTTCATATTAGCATTTAAGTTATGCAATTTTCTTAACGAAATCCTGTGTTTACCTGCACTTATGCCAATGCAGAATTACAAAGGTAAGCTTTGAATTAATAAGGAAAAAATGTATTTCAAGGCATAGTAGCTACCACTGAATGTGGCCTTCTTCCTTCTCAATATTTTCCCCATAGCATATACTATCTAATAGTAACTTTTAATGTTTTTCCCCAAGCATCTTTGTTGCTCCTGTTATTGGCCACCCTGGCAAGTTACTTGTTATGGTTTTATTGGCATTGAGATATCCTGCAGTTTCTTGAAGATTTATTTTCTCTTTGATAATTAGAAACTGCAGTGGTAGATAATATTTTTAATGTGTTCAACTGTGCATGTGTAACGTCTGCTCATGTTGGCAAACACTAAATACAATTTCAGACCTGGGCCCCTCACTTGGGGCATTCCAGATATTTCCCTGTGCACTCAGAGTGCATCTGTGGACACTCTGACCTACTAAAAAAACTGTACCTAGTTCTGGTATCTCACATTCCTAGGCCAAGATATAGCCCATACCTTACACACCTTGGAAATCTCTAGTTTTGCACGGCAATATTTAGACTGCATAATTTATTCTCCACTTTTCCTAAATACCTATGATAAGACTAATGAGCCCTTCTCTTCTTGGATATGCCAATTACGCTAATGAAATGAAGGAGTTACCAGGGAGAGATTTAGCTCATTATTTGAAAACCTGCTCAAAAATTAAGACTACAATTTAAGCCTCTCACCAACAGTTAAGGTCCAACAGCACATAAGCAGACAACAAGTGCAGGAAAGTGTGCGCAAATGCATTGGAATGGAAGATTTTGTCCCTGAAGACAGCAGCCAGTGATGAGCTACAGCAGCTCCGCTGTAGAGTGGTGAGCATAACAACCCACAGTGTTTGCGGCCTGTCCATGCCTCAGACATCCCCATTCCACCCTGCCCCATACCCACCTTGGGCTCCGCGGCGAGGACGTGGCTGCAGAGCCACCGGCTGCAGATACGAAGTTCCTCAGTGCTGGCCCTCCATTCCCATCCCCTCTCTTCCTGCACCAGTGACAGGCAGCACGGCTGGGATTTAGGGGGTGTCTCATTCCTGGATAATATCACAGCTCAGAAAACAACCCTGAATGCAGCTTATTGGGGGGGTGTCCATAACACCTTTTCCCTCTGGCTGAGGGCAGCTGTGCATTCGGTGGAGGAGAAGGTGTGTTTGTGTGGGGACCATGGGGGGAGAAGGTGTGTGCCCCAGTATATGGCAGAGGGAAGGAGCTCTGCACTTCTTTCTCATCCCCTTTTCCCTTCCGCTGCCTCAACAAGGTCACCCTCCTCTTCTAGAGACTAATCAGGCTGAAAGCAGGGATTTACAGTATTGTCTTTGACCTAAGGAAATTACAGCCATTGCAAACAAAAGGTTCACAAGCTGAGGTAACCAAACATTTTACAAGAGTCAACTCACAAATAATGAAAAGGCAAGGAACATAATTAATGTCTGTCAACATAGTTTTGTGTCAAGAAACCTCAAATTCATTCTTTGGTCGGATTACCAGTTCAGTTGGTAAATGTTGCTGTGTGATCTTCTGCAAGATGTTTGACTTAGCACACCATATTCTGATTTAAAAATTAGCACCATGCAGTATGAATAATGCAGTGTTAAATAGATTAAAACTGGCTAGCTTATGTTCTCAAGAAAAGCAGTGATTTACCAGGTGTCTTAATAATAATAATTCTGTGATTCAAGAGAGAAACCCCAATCTTCACTATTAGTTGTCTGAAAGGAAATATGTCAAGGAAAATTTAAGTCATTCCTGATAAAATCTGCACAGAGGTTGAATGAAGAATTGTACACCAGAGAGTCACAAAATGACCTGGTGATCCAGAGACCTGCATAAATACATATTTTAATACAATCACTTGAAGAGTCATGCATTTCAGAGCGAGAATGCTGGCTCTACATACGAGAGGGAGCTGGAAGGCAGTTCTGGACAGGATTTATGGCTCATACCCCTGTGTAATATATCCCTATATATCTTTATAGGAGATTTCTCTGTACACCATGGACAAGATGGATATTGGAATCCACTTTATTGTGTGTATTGTAAAATGGCTTTAAAAAAATTCTCATAATGAGATATTTAAGATCTCAGCTTCTTTAGGTCATTAAAAGGCAACTAAAAGCTGATTTCAGTCATTCATGAATGAATTAGCACAGAGAAAATAATAGTTACTAAAATTACTTTAAACTATCGAAGAAAGGAGAGTTGATAGCTGGAAATGGAAGTCAGAGAAGTTAAAAGTAATAAGGGAAGCAAGGAGGGCAATTAAACAAATTTCCAAGCAAGGTGTTAAGATTATGGCCTCTTGATAATTTAAAATTAAACCCAGGCATATCTCCCATTGACATATATTACAGACAACCTCAACATATTCCCTGAGGAATTTCAGTTTCCTCTTATGGACGTGTGAGTGACACGGTGGTGTGACACACAGACAAATTGACTGTTTGAACCAGACATTTCTTTTGCCCTAAATTCTATTAATCACTAAATTATGGCTTTTGTGTACAGGGATTGTTTTTGATACATTTTCAATGGCAACCTGAAATCTCCTACTGCCCACTTCAACAGCGAAATATGTATATTTGTCAAAACAAAACAAAACCAAAAAAAAGCCCATAGAACACTGATGGTAGATATGAAAACAGAAACAATCTACCCTGACTCCTCAGTGTGGACCTTCCCTCCAGCCCTATGTTTCCTGCCGCTCGGCAAGTCCAGAAGCCAGGACAGACCATAAAACAATGTGTGGGGTGCCCCTCTTTACCAAACACTTCCCACAGAATTAGAACTAGTGCTAGGCTGTTCTATACTAACTGTATGTTTTCTTAACCCAATATGCACTTCAGTCATTAATGTCTATCTGAGAACCCAGAGATTCAGGAATAAAACACACTTTAAGCCTAGCCTGAGAAAGGAAAGTCATCTTCTAGTCCAATAAAGTGTCTGTACACACAGACATGCCTGCTCTGACCACGCACCGTACATTATTTATACGAACGCCTAGGAATTCACAACAGGGCCATTCCAACACTTGCAGATACAGCCCGGTGAATTTGAAGTGAAAAAAAATATTCCTTATAAGAATATGGTTTGTTGTAATTGAATCTTACACTTATAGTCATCAGAAATATAATCATGTAAATTAATGAGATTGAAACCATGAGCAAGCAAATGGCTAATGAGTTTAACCTCTGACAAACACAAGGGAAGAGATTAGCAGTCAGACTGTATTTCACCAGGCTGGGTCGCTTTGTGCTGTTCCTTGCCTGCACTGAACACTGCTTGGTTTTGTACTGAGCCTTTTGTGCAAAAAGCATAAATAAAATGCTTTAAATAAAAGAGTAGGATGAAACTAGTTACGTGCTTCCAATGGGAATGACTGAAAGCGAGGCACAGAAAAGACAGTTACCGATTGTAAAAAAAGAGTGTTTTGTCAATTCATAACAAATGTGGCTCCCTGATGTGATCTCAAACTAGAATCTGAAAGGGAAATACAAAACGTACAGGGGAAATGAGATGCCTTCTTCTTGGAGCTTAGTGAATGGATTGCATTGCCACAGCCAAAATACAGTAGTAAAAATAGTGAAGGGTAAATTCTTCACAAAATAGCCAGCTCTTCCTTTTTTTTAGCCAAACTCCCACAGTCTTTCCTCGGAAATCTCTTCAGCTGCCCTTGACACATCTAAATTTTGAGGGAGAAGTCTAGAGAAGATAATTTACTTTGCTGACCATGAGGAATGATCTCTGCTCTGCTACAATGTGAAAGATGATTCAGAGGAATTCATGCAGGGACAGAGCTAGCTTTGCCCAAGATAAGAGCCACTTTTGGCTCTAGACAATTAGAGGTAGGAAATAACTCAGAAATTCGGAATAGAGTATATCATCCTCTCCTGATTTATTCTTTCCTTTCTTTCTTTCTTTCTTTTTTTTTTTTAGGCACGGTCAACTAAAGAGCAGCGTTGGGGAGGGCCTCTCCTCTCCAGAAATCACTCCTTGGAGGAGGAATTTGAAAGAGCAAAGGCTGCTGTGGAGGTATTGCTTTGTTTGTTTGTTTTTTTTTTTCATTTTCAGCTACTATTCAATGGATTTCATATTCATCTTGCAGCTCAAGCAGAAGAGAAACTGAATCTAGATTATTCAAAGCAGAGAAAAAGATACATATCAAACAGTTATTCATTTAAAACAGCACCTTCTCTGTTAACAAAAAATAGAACCTCAGCTATAAATATAGATGATCCAGAACCAATTCCATAAGCTAGATTTTGTCTTGCTATAGTAGGTGAAAATTCCCCATAAAGATAAGTACATCCAAACTTGGTATGTGAAACAATTTCCCAGTGATTGAATATGCAGAGTCAGTTGTTTCAGCTCAGGATAAGTAGGACTGAAATCTGAATTCAGACAGAAGCAGTCTTTCCATCCACACTGAAACTGGAAATCAGAATCATTTACAAACAGAATACTTGCTGCAATGGCTGAGTATTTGCAGGTACCCAGAACCATGCAGCAATGCATTTTGATAAGTAATATTTGTTTACTGACAACAAAAGTGGGTCCAAGTCATATGCTGGCTTCTAACTAGAAATGGAACTCCTCATTTAAGAAATAAAGAAAAGACTGTGGGGTTTTACTGTTATTTCACAGCATCCTGCTACTTGTAAAGCAGCTCTTGTCTTGGCTTATGGGGCTAAAATGAACACAAAATGAACACTGAAGGCGTTTCTCCTGTATTTTTGGAGTGCATTGGTTTTCTTGGTCAAGCAGGTTCCTTATAAACAGTGCTGGTGATACACAATAGGTTTTATGTTGCACATCATATACATTTCTCACTGGCAAGAAGGAGGGAATTGCTTTGAGATTGGCACTGTTTAAAATTCTCTGGATGTTTCTCATTACACTGCAGACTCATCCTTCAGGTAGGACACGCTGTGCTGTGATCTGTGGTTCAGGCACAGGCAGTTTGGTTTGAACATCATCTGCATTACGGCTAGGAGTCAAGCAAGTGGTGTCAGTACTCCTGCAATGGGCAGGAACTACGCGTAATGCAAAGTTCCTAGACATTCAACAGAAGGGAAAATATGCTAAGGCTAATAACAGATTACAAGACTTTATTCAATTTCTTTACCGAGTAAAGTAAGGAGAGGAATATATTGTAAAACGAGCCTGCACATTAAAAAGGTCACTCCAAGGCAACAAAGAAAGATTATTAAAATGCTTTAATGCAGCCTGGAAAACAGCTATTAAAAAGAATCTCATTAAATGTTTCCCTAACTGTGTAGCTGGAAGTCTAAGTAATTCCTCTGCTTAAAATAGAAACTGGTACCAGGTAGTTAAAATGTAAAGGAAAGGATGCTGCAAGACCTTGTAGAGCAGGCATTTTCATCTGCATATGAAAAGAACTGAATTTTCATCCTAGCCAAAATGAAGTGGTAAGAAAGCCAGAGTGATTGAAATAAATTGCAGCCCATCTCAGAAAGATTAGTGCTTTCTTAAGAAGAGAATAGATACAGTTCAGAAATTCATCTTTTAGGCTTTGCATGTTTTTGTAATATTTTTCAATTGAGAAAGTTCCAAGTGGCAATATTAGCCAGAAAACTGATCATGAAAAGGAAGCAAATCTCAAGTTCTTTATGGCCTATTTTGAAAGGAATTAATTAACAATTCAGTAAATTAAGATGCCAAACTATCCTCTACCCAATATTCCCTTTAGAGCTTTGGGAATGGTCTTAAGATGTCAAACCCTGAGATTAATGAAGATCCGTGAGGTAATTTTTTCTTAAGAAGGTTTAAAGATATTTATGCCTTCGGGGAATCCTTAAAGAATAAAGAGGTAAGTAAATTAGCTTTATTACTAGAGAGGGTCCAGATTCATTTGCACTGGGGTCCTCACAGACTGGGCTTTTTTTTCTGTCATGATAGAAACTAAATTTCATTATTGCATTGTCCAGTTGCTCTATGTGTGAGAAAAGCACAAACAGCCTAAAATCTTCATGTTTTCCAAGCACCATAACAAACATGTCTTAAAATAATCTTTATAATAATAGGCTGCATTTTTACCTCTACAATCGTTATTTCTGAGTTTTTAAAACTCGCCATGACAGGGAATAAGATCCACAACAACCTGATCTATATTCTGTTAAAATGATTGCTTTAGCCTCCTTGCTTTAGTATCCAATTGCTAAGAGTTAGAAAAAATAAAAATGAAAAGCAGTGCAAAAACTTCTAAATGAAAAATATCTTAGATCTGGGCAAAAAGTAACCTTGAAATTTCTTACATCGCATGTCTCTGCTGTAGAAATTTGCTCATATATGCCACACAGTGTTGCAGGTTTATATAAAAGAAACTTCAAGCTTTCCATCTTTATCTTATTTTATATACAAAGCAAAGTCACTTGAGCCCTCTGCAGTTTAATGTACTGTAATGAAGCATCAAAACGTGTTACAGCTAAATTATGTGACAATAGTAGCAGAAAAATAGGATTGGATTTTTCTAGCCTACGGAAACACAGTCCAGAGCCATCAGCTTTGTGGTTTACATGAATACTGGTTAAAATCCTTTACATGATTTTACAGGATCCAGTCTCACTATTTCTACCTGCTTGTTGGATCCTCTCAGGATTGCCTAAACCAGACCAACCTATGCATCTTAACTGGAATCACAGCAGGGAACTTTGTCTTGATATCAATTTGTTACATAAATTTTACTGAAAATGAATACTTCAGATTACGTTTTGAGAAATTATCAGCTAAGGAAACTTCATGTAGCTAGCACACAAATGTAATTCTTTTGTGTCCTCCACATGAAAGAGTATGTTGATGCAGTAATTCACAGAAAAAAAAAATATAACAATCACAAAACCTTTGTTTTTATGCACTCATAAAGAAGGAACATTGCAAATAACTTTCTGGCAATACAGGACTGACAAAATTCTAATCTAAAAATGATGGAAACCAGAGGTAAGTTTAGAAATTGCCTATCAATATTAAGAAAGTGCCGCCTCTTCATTGCATCCTAGGAAATAAACAGGCTGGGAATATTTTGCCTGCCTTTTGTTTAATTCTTTCAGCATATTTTTCAGTGCTAACAAGAGTAAAAATAGCCTCTTTGACAAAACGCAGAAAATTATGCATGTAAGGAGTCAGATGGTAAAAAACATTTTTCCTAGTTGTCATTTCATGTAAATGCTGCTGATGATCTGAGAATGTGTTAAATGTGTTCAACTGCACTGAAACCTTTTGGTATGTCCAAAGAAATTCACCACCATTAAGACAGCTGAAATATTGAAATGAAGTAATTGGCACCAGTCACATGGCAAAAAAGAGCCAGAATTAGATCTAGGAGTCTTGATCCAGAGCCAGATTTTCAGAAGTACTCAAAATTAATTTAACCCACTTGACCAGATTTTCAGAAGTACTCAAAATTAAACCCACTTGTTACTGGAGTCAACAGCAAAACTGCCATCAAGGTCAGTTGAAAAAGACTAGCTCTTTACAAGATGATGACATTGATGGTCCTCTTCTTCATGAGCATTAAAAGCTCTGCTATTAACATTGTTAACTGGCATGGAAATATTACGGCGTTTTATCAGGTGCTGTAACTGAGCAGGATGCAGCTCTTGGATGCAGCTTTGCCTAACCGGTTTGAGGACCCGTATCCTGGCACAGTAGAAGCTGGAACTTCCCCTCCCCTCCCAGGTGCCAGGACCCCAAATGCCACAAGCGTTTCGGAAGCAGCAGCTGGTGCAGGAACCCTGCACTGGAAGAGAAGCTGCAGCCCCCTCTGCACGTTGGCAGAGCCTCTCCTGACCAGAAACCACAGCCCCTCACAGCAGGTCCTGCCCTGCCAGGGCCCTGGACACACACAGCATCTTCCAGGTCCTGTACATGGGATCCTGTGATCACACAGGATCTTCCACATCACGTCTACAGAAAATAGAAGCATGAATACAAGCCTATTTGTGCCAGAATCACAGATACATTCATTTCTCCAGTAGTTCTATGATTTACTCCATTTAAAAAGGCATTTTAAGCCATTCTTAGTTTTGTTAATCTGTGGGAAAGCGAAATTTCCATTCCTTTACCTCATCCTGAATGTCAGAATTACTCCTAGTAAAAACACAGTCAAATAAACTTTTTTCAACATAGTGAAGATTTTCATTGAAAGCAAAATAATTCATGGAGACATTTGTTGGACAAGACAGTCTGAGGGATTCAAATGCCTCTAGTCATGGCTGATAAGACTGAAAGGGAGCAAACCGAATGACGATCCCGGTCTTTTCAGTCTCCAAATGGAAGTTTCATGACAACCTCAGAACTATTCAATAGGTTGCAGTTTTGAAACCTCAGAAGCTGTTGTGCAGCAGAGTCGTTATCTTCTGCTCACTTCTACTCACAGTAGAGAGGAGAGGAGGAGAGAACACAGGAGCACAAGCTCCTCTCCGGAGTGAGGGATTCGCAGCAGTTTCTGAGTCACTGAGGAACAGAGCAGGTACCTTCACGTACCCAGTAACTGCACAACGCGGAGAAGTCGCAGTGTCCTAGAAGGAAGTGCGGGATTTCGGGGCAGAGTGAGAGCACAGGAGAAATGCTTGTTAGATTCCTGAAGAGGGGATGCACATTGTCATCTTTAAACAGATTTATAACAACTGCCCCTAATGTTAGTGAGTGTAAGTCCTCCTAGCCCTTTACATTAAGTCTCAAATACTCTCCTTGCTGACTTGAAGGTCTTTTCCAACCATAATGATTCTATGGGCTGTTCATTCCTTTCCCTGAGTGCCTAGCAAGGAGAGTTGTGGCAAGCCAGGGAACTGCAGAAAAGTTCTGTTCTTAAAATGATGCTGGGCTGGGAAATAATAGCACAGGGAGATCAGGCTTGCAGTGAAGATTCAGACGAATCCATCTGGACCTTTTTCTAATACCTTTAAATCACTTTGATTAGTATCTCTGTCTCAGTAGTTCTGCCTAAGCCTCATTTGTTTGTGCTAGTGTCTTTGCTATACGTAGGCTGAGATCCTCCAGCTCACTGGCCATCCCCTTGGAGGCCCTTGCAGAGACCTGTGGCACTCAGCACACAGAACTTGGGTCCTACAGGCAGCTGCAGAATGACTTTCCTGTGCTTGTGCCCAGGACACGGAGGCTGAAAAGGAGCAGCTGAGCTTGCACTGCCCCGTCTTTTCTGCTGCCTTGTTGCTGTTTCTTGTCATCATTTTCTAGCACACACTGTGGTTCCCTCATTCTGGGTGATACATACTCTAATTCTCATTGTTATTTCATTATTTCTGTCTTTCATGTGTATATTTTTCCCTTTTTGTCCTTGAGCTCATTGGTATCGTTACTGGACTGTTCATGAGCTCTTAGTTTCCTCTCACCATTGTGCCGTATAGGATGCAATGTTAGGATTTCTCCGTTCTGTCAAAAGGCCATCAATGTTCTGACATTTCTTTTTCACATGGCTGAAAATGATGCTGAGTCTATCAAAGTGGGATACTTGTTCTCTTTTAAACTGTTTTATCTGTTGTTATTCCTTGGCATGTCTGCTTAGTTGACTTTTCTTTTTTGGAAGGGAACTAGCTGCATTCATTTCCTTCAAATTTTATGTAACAATTTACTGCTAGAGTGAATGAGATGCAGTGTAAGCTGTTGTAAATCCTGCTTCATGTAGAGCATATGCTCTCTCTGAGATAAAGGGCTTTATGTTGAAGAAACACACAACAACGTAAAAGACAAAATTTAGCCATGCGGAATACCAAGTTTGTGCTGTAGTATCTCAGAATCAGACCACCTATACAAATAAGATAAAAGCTTACTAGGTTTTTAAAGTTTCATTGTTAATTTTCTTCCTCTTTTCTCTATTTCTTCTAGTCAGACACAGAATTTTGGGATAAGATGCAAGCAGAATGGGAAGAAATGGCTCGCAGGAATTGGATTTCAGAGAACCAGGAAACACCAGGGCAAGTCACCATCTCAACCATTGAGAAGGTAACAGAGCTTTTTAATCCAGCACATCCTTGCCATAGTTGGATGAGCCTCTCAGCTATTCAAGGACACCCAGAAAAGTCTTCCCAGACACGGCAGCTAACTTGTACCCAAGGGCTCAGCCTCCTTACAAGTGCATGAGAAGGGCAAATTCAGAAGGCTTTACCACAGTGCAGATGCTTTTGGACTTGTTCTGTGCCTGACCGAATGTGGCCATAAGGATCCCTCAGCAAAATGCTGGATACTGGGCACTTTTGAAGACAGACACTTAAGTAAGAGGATCAAATACTAAAAAATCTAGTCAGGAAAGTTCAAACACGGCCAAGGAGAAAAACGATGGAGATTCCGTATCTCTCCTTCATCCCTTCTATTGTACATTTTAATTTGACTTATATTAGGTAGCTGATATTAACATACACCCTTCATTCTGCAGTGCCAGAAAGGAAGCTTTGCTGTTCTAATAGATATTTTGACCTAGGAGCCATTTTTAGGCTAACATTTGTATTGATTTCTGTTCCAAAAACACAGTGTCTGAAAGCTGATCCTTCCCAGACATTTCTGACTGGGCCTCTTTATCCAACCCACAATGGAGCAGGAGCTCACAACTAGGTAAAATTTAAAATGACCCTAAAAGAAATTCTGGGGCTTGCAAAACCCTTCTATATTTTGGAAGTGAAGGTTGCAGGTTAGTGACTGAACAGGCAGTAGGCTACGAGCCCCATTTGTGAACCCCTTGATGACTGTTTTTCTCCTGCAAATTCAGTCCTCAGGGCTCATGCAGTCAGTGTGAGTTGTTGCCGCTAGCTTTGATCGGAGAAGCAGAGCCCGATACATGAGGATCAGCAAGTGTAACTCCAGAGCGAAGTTAAAGAAACCAGTAATATAAACGTCCAGTAATGTCCAGGACATGAATTATTAAGAAAAGTAACAATTTAAACTTCACAGGGTAGTTCATACTTTCTACATACAATGGATCTTCATATCCAGGGAGTCACGTAGTTCTGCGGTGTTGTCATTCCTTGCTAGAGCGCTTCCTCACGGCTCTGCTCCCTCTCCTCTCCAGGGCTATTATTTTCATACTGAAAACCCTTTCAAAGACTGGCCGGGGGCTTTTGAGGAAGGACTGAAAAGGATGAAGGAAGGCGACCTGCCTGTCACCATCTTGTACCTGGAGGCTGCTATCCTGCAGGAGCCCAACGACGCAGAGGTAGCGGCGCCGGGCCCTGCGCTCGTGGAGGGAAGGGGCCTCCCTGGCGCGCGGGGCCGCGATGGCTCCGCAGCCCAGCCCGGCGGCACTCGGGTGCGCGTGAGCAGCAGCGGGTCTGGAAGAGCAAACGCCTTGACATAAATTAAGGGGAGCTCCTAATGGGATGAGAACTCTCTTTTGAAACTGTGGCCTTCCCAAACTTTCATTTGGAAGCTTTCAAAATTGACAATATTTCAAACTTTTCACATTTTTCCCCTGATATTTTCAAACTATTAAACACTTACTGAAAGGATGAAAATCTTTGATGATGTCAACAAGGATGCTGACTCATTTTTAAAGTTGCACCAGTTTCCAATACTCCTATTTTCAGTGGCTTTATATTTACAGTCTGTCCTCTTTGAAACCTTAAACATATTTTCAGTATGTGTAGCTAGACTTCTTTGAGCCTATTGCTAGACTAAAATAAGCAGCAGCATTTTGAAAAGCAGATCAAATTCTCAGACCCTGTAGAATCCCTTTGACCTGTACAACAAAACAGTTTTTCATCATTTTCTGCAAATGTCTAGCAACAGCAGAATCCGTTTTAAATGTACAGCACCACTTTTGAGAAACCAGTATGTGTCCTTACACTGACAGGATGCCTTTGCATCCATTGCTTATAAATGTGGGGAGGCCCAAAGATACTCAAAACTGCATTAATTTGTACTGGCCGTGTGCTCGCAGTAGAAAAATCTCTGTTTAGCCAATGCTGGACACATCTGCTGTTTTATTCACCCACTATTTAATGGTGATGTAAGCTGGTAACTCTGCTTGCACTTGGGTACATACAATAACAGTGACGATTATTTTGGCAGGCCTGGCAGTTCCTGGGCATAACGCAGGCGGAGAACGAAAATGAGCAGGCAGCCATTGTCGCCCTCCAAAGGTAGATGGAGTTAATTGCTAAATAACTGGTCTGATCAGTAATTAGGTGATGGAAGCCTATGTATATTTAACCTCACACACGCCTTGGAACTTCAAGCATTTACTCAGCTAAGGAAAGTATTGACGCACGTACAGAAATCTTCATAGTGCATTTGGAAGCACAAGTTGGGATTAATGTTTCCATTTTAAAGAATAACTGAAGTATTTAATCTAAAAATTCAATTAGATGCACAAAAGAAAAGTTACATGGCCTGGCAAACATGAACTAGGCATAATGCAAACAAAGTGCCTTTTTAATATTCCAGCCACTCAGCATATTTCCCATACTCTGTCCTTTAGTGAAGAGGTTTCTTAATTGGAATGAACTCCTTTCAGCTGCTGAATACTATATTGAGAACATTTTAGATTGATAACGATGTAAAGAAGATGGCAGGCTTGTATGTAAAACATCAATTGCAAAATATCTGTATTATTATTACCTTACTGTAGTGGGTGTTCATGTTTCCACTTGAACAAAGTACCCTCTTCAAATTTAATTGCATTAGCAATTTAACCATCAAGTCATTTCGCCTAAGGATACTTCAATTACCCTTACTCATTTATATGTAACTTATTAGTGTACCTGGATAGAAAATCCAAGGGATTGTCTGATACAGGCCTTGCTCATCCCCACCGTTTTAAAACAAGCAACAGTAACGTTGATGAATTAGGCTAGGTTCTGTTCTCAGTTAATGGTGTGTAGCTAGAGGAAGAATATGGGAGCTGACTGGCTCTAGCTGTACCAGCGTATAACTCAGAATCCCTCATGACTGAGAAGATCAAAAGAGGGGAAGAGATTGTGTCTTCAAAATACTTTTTTGTAGTTGAAAGTTTTTAATTAAATTGCTTCACTTGAGTTTACAGAAAGCAGCTCTTTGTCTACTGACGGGGCAGATACCACAGAAATGAATCTACTCATGTTTGCTATAAAGAATAATCTACACAAGCAGCAGGATGAGCAGAAAGCCTGTGTGCAGGGTTATGCATGGGTGTGTTTCCACACAAGCACGCGCGTGTCAGGGTGTAATGCATTTACCACGTAAAAATAAGACTAAGTCCCTTCTTTGAAAGCATGTCTCGGTAGATGTTACCTGTGTGAGCGATTTCTGACATTATTTGGAGTTGAGTCTGGCAAAAAAAAAGCTCAAAGCATTTTTATTTTCTGTCTAGGTGCTTGGAGTTACAGCCCAACAACCTGAAAGCTCTGATGGCCCTGGCTGTGAGTTACACTAACACTGGCCATCAACAAGAGGCCTATCAAGCTCTGCGAAACTGGATAAAGCAAAATCCCAAATACAAGTATATAGTGAAAAGCAAAAAAGGGTCTCCAGCACTTACTAGGAGAATGTCTAAGACATCAGATGAAAGGTAAGAGAAGTGTAAATCCTAATGATGGAAACTGTAATGACAACTTTATGTGCTGTGCCCTTATTCCACAGAGGTTCTGCCTGCTTCCTTTGGCAGAAACTCAGACTCAGTCTGTAGCCAATACATTATCTCAACTGGATTCATAGTTGTGCTTTGACTTTACTATATAGATAAACTCAGATACTCTGCAAATGACTTTACAACAGCAGCTGAAAGTAAATCTGCATTATACCGATAATGAAGAAGCTTATTTTAAATTTTAAGAGTGTATCACTGCTGATATATCCAGTGCAAGGATTTTAAATTCAGGCTATGCATTCAATATTGCAATGTTTGCAAAGCAGGGCAAGATGCAGCTTGATGCTATTTTTCACCCTTATCTAGCTCTCTACTTGAAGAAGTAAAGGATTTGTACCTGGAGGCAGCTCACCAGAATGGTGATATGATAGACCCTGACTTGCAGACAGGACTCGGAGTCCTTTTCCACCTGAATGGAGAATTCAACAGAGCAATAGATGCATTTAGTGCTGCTTTAACTGTTCGGCCAGAGGTAATTTTCTGCTTTTATGTTCTTAAGAGTTTAGTTCTACAGGCCCTTTTCTTTCTCCCCTCTTGAACAGGCCAATATTAATGAGATGCCACTTCAGCCATTAAAATTTTAACGCCCGAAATAGAAATGTTAATTACAAGACAGTGCCATTTGTAACAGATTTATGCGTGTCCAAGGTTTAGCTGTGTACTGATTAATCATGCTCATTACGTGGCTCTGTCTATAGCCATGAATCAGACCTTCCCACTCCATGCCAATTAGCAGAAGACCCTGTTGTGTCCCTGCTTGACACCTGCAGTAGAAAACCCGCGTTTTCTCACCAGGACTACACATTATGGAACCGTCTTGGAGCAACTCTGGCAAATGGGGACCGAAGTGAGGAAGCTGTTGAGGCCTATACACGTGCTTTAGAAATACAACCCGGCTTCATTAGGTCCAGATACAATTTAGGAATAAGCTGCATCAACCTAGGAGCATACAGGTAAGTTACATAAATGTACAGACAAAAGTGTCAGGGGCCATATAAACAGTTACCAGGGGGGCTGGACTAGATGATCTCTAGAGGTCCCTTCCAACCTTAAGCATTCTGTGATTCTGTGAAAGCTCATTTTCTAGCTGGAATTATCCATGTGGCTACATTCTGACTTTCTGTCTTCATCTCAACTATTGCAAACATTTTGAATAGTGTTTTCCAAATCATTGATGCTTTTCTCAAATCCACCAAGAAAGCAACGATACTTTTTTTTCCCAGATCCACATATTCTGTTTAACAGAACTATAGCATTTCGATTAAAACCAGATGCATTCAGGAAGCTAAATAAGCAGACTTTTTTAGCTCTAATTGCATGTAATGTTATTATAAAACAGTGGGATTACTCTCACGCTTAAAGTTAGTCCTGTGTTTAAGCGCTTTTCCAAAAGGAAATTGAAGCGCCTGTCCCTAGGAGGGAAGTGTCAGTTAAATGACTTGCAGAACCTAATCCTGTAAAAGACGCTTCTGAAACCTCCTTCAGGAAGCAAGGGTGATATTCCAGGCCTCCATAAGAAGGGTCCCAAGTGTCATCTTAAGACAGTTAAGATGAAGGGGAACTACACAACAGACTCCCCACACGTAGGGTCAGGCTGAGCTCTGCATTGCTCCGAGCCCTTTTTCTAACAAACAATAAGCAATATGTTTACCTGTTTGTTTAAGGCAAATCAAACAAGAATAGCACAAAGAGACTGTAATGAACTGTCTTGTAAAATAACATATATGATTTTAGCATGATGTTTTAGAAAGCTTTACGCTAGTCTTTAGGCATATTATCTTGCATGTTTCTTTTCTTCTTCCCTGCAGAGAGGCTGTCAGCAATTTTCTCACTGCTCTCAGTTTGCAAAGGAAGAGCAGGAACCAACAGCAGGTTCCCCATCCTGCTCTGTCAGGCAATATTTGGGCAGCGCTCCGAATTGCTCTGTCTATGATGGACCAACCAGAACTCTTCCAAGCTGCCAATGTGGGTGATCTAGACATTCTGCTAAGAGCTTTTAACCTAGAGCCATAAAAAAAAATATCCACAAAGCGATTAAGCTGCATTAGGAACTAGAGAACTCTTCTATGACTTATTTCAAAATGACCATGTTTTCCAAAAGATCGTGGCTGAGCATCAGTAGGGAAACTCTCCTGGACATGACTCCAAAAAGAGAAGTTCGAAAGCACAAAGAAAAAAAAAAAAGGTAAATAAGTTCTAAATCAAATGATTAAAATGGACTGCAGCTAACCTGACAAAGCCCTGAACTAGACCAAGCAGACCAAGAAAACTAGAATAGGAACCAACCTAGATAATCCTTATTGCACATTAGAACGGTGAGCAACGCACCCAAGGAATCTGCTTAGCAGCTCATTGCATGATGCTGACGCCACTTTCCCCTACAACAGGAATTCCCTATCCTTTGGTTTCTTTGTTGAAAAGTTGTCTCAAGATCCATCAATAAGTAAGCTCTGATAGAGATGCATGTAAAATGGATGTATTTTGTTTTGACTCTGTTTATCGGTCGGCAGTCAACAAGAGCTTTGCTTCTGAAGGTTCCCTGGTTGAATTTGGGCCTAATTCTACAGGCTCATAGAGTTGCAAACTTCGTGGGATGTAACAAGGACATTGTGCAAGAGGGCTCGTGGGATTAGGCCATTTACTTACCAAAAGGACAAGTGTTACAAGTGGAAGCAGTAATTTGCACTAGAATTGTTGTTTAAACCAGCTATCCCTGATCGTGGAATGAGCCAATCTTCTACAGAGGCACTTGCAGCAGGATCTGCACCAGTCTATGTATTATGCACTTTAATCTTTCTTTTTGTAAATCAGTGCTATGCTTTTATTTCAATTAGTAACAACAAAACATACAAGATAGCCTTGTCAACATAGAGGACCAAATATCCTTTCCTGTAATGTGATAAGGTTTTCAATGTCTAAAGAAATGCAAATACAAATAATATCTACCAAAAAGACTATTTAATTACACATCTTACAGGTACTACCCACATACATGTTGTATGTGGATTATGTCAATTGGCCTGCAGATTTCTATTACAAATAAAGAAAAACTTCATAAGAGTTAATGTCTGCAGACCATGCTCAAGGGAAAAATCTCCCTGAGAAAATCAGTCTATCTAGGGATTGTAGAGTTGGGGCTAAAATTTGATCCTTTTTACTCTTGTGGCAAGGAAAATCCTCAGTGACCTCCATGACTGCAGGCCAAATCCTTATATAATATTAAAAAAAAAAGGATTTTAGGTGGGTTGGATGAAAGGGAAACAATATTTGGGTGAGAGATTGGGGGTGCTGAATGCACTGCTGAAGGATGAATGAATCATTCTGGGTGTTGTGCAAACATGTTTAGTTCAAGGTGAACACGTCAACCAAAGAAAGGAATAGAAAATTTTCAGGAACTAACTTTAAGTTGCTGATATTTTAATAAGTTGCTGATATCATTCCAAAATAGTGAAAGAAAAAAAATTAATTGAACAGCTAATGCTATGGTACGCAGTCAGGGATGTAACAAGCAGGGTATGCACTGGAATGCATTGAACTGGGGAAAACAGTGTACTTCCCATAAGTAGCATAGAAGAAAAAAAATCATCCCAATTGGCTGTATTAAAAAAAAAAAAATCCCAATGCACAGATCAGAGAAAAATTCTGGGGGAATTTGGCAGCTTAGCCAGTACAAATCTGAAGTTTCTTGCAGCTGTGTGTTATTTTGAGCAACCACTTAAAGGAAACGTCCATGTAAGACAATCTAATCACAGCATCTAATCATAAAGCGTAATTTGTTAAATAAAAATAATCGATTCTCATTAGAATAAAAGGCCTACCCATCACTCCCTTCCACAGAACCAAGGTGCTGAAACAGCTCCAAGGCTTTCTGAAAAGTGCTTTATTAATTCACTGCCAATATATAGTTCTCCTTATCTATGAAGCAGGCAATGGATCCCTGCAGTTTTCCTCTAAATCCTGTTTATCAGGGCCCGGGATGGGGAATGTCCTTTCGGCTGCGGCGGGCTCGCTGTCGGTATCTGCTGACAACAGTTTGCTCTTTTGCTGCGACAGCGACGTGTGATGACAGCCCGGTACTGATAAGGCAGAGCAGAAGGTGCCGCGCAGCTGAGTCCGGAAAGCGCCAGGAGGGAAGGGAGGCAGCCGCACGGCGAGGCTGCGGAGCAGGGGCACGTGTGCCTGATGCTTGATGCCCTGTCGGGGCAAATGTTCTTCTAGGATATTCCCTGGGCTATGGTGAAGGATAATTAGTGCTTATACAGAGGATTTATATGTTCAGGAGCTTCATTTGTGTGCCTCTCAACTCAGCGAACCTCACTGCTTGACTCAGCAGAGTGACGGTGAATACGCGCAATACTGGTTTTCACTAAGCCTATTTTTCTCCTGATGTGCATGAGTAATGCAGCAATTTTGTTAGAAAACACTCAGAGCCTGTGTTTAAACCTAGAGCAACTCCTGGGCCTCCAAACAGCACAGATGAAGCGGGCATCTCTGCTTATCCTGGGGTGCTCTGCTCAGAACTGCATCTGCTAACACGCGTGCCCCAGCATGATCAGTACCAGGAGAATTGGCTGCATTAACCGAGGAAAAAGGGGCTAACCTCCACCTCCCGAGGTATGCTCAGGCCTCTCGATCCACCACACGCATGGCAGGTCTGCCATACAGGCACCAGCCTGTGCAAAGCTTGTCAAAATGCCTGTGCAAAAGCCCCCCTTTCTCTCCTGTTTCAGACGGTCTCTAGCCAGTCAAGCACATGGCACTGACCGACACGTTGCCCAAGGGCAGGTAGGCTTCAATATCCTGGGTTTTATCTTTTTCCTTAGGGCTCTACTGCCAAGCCCTGCCAGACGGAAGGCAGGATGAGATGCTGCTGTGGACTTGCCCCCTCATGGTGTTTCTCACGTATGGCAAGCACGTGCGTTTGCCTGCAGGAGCAAGAGGAAACGTGGGGAGGCTGTAGCCTGTTAACACCCTGGAGAGGAAAAGCATCTACTTGGGCTTCTAGCCAGGCACGAGGCAGGATAAATAAGAAGGCTGCTGAACTGCAGCAGGTTGAGCCTGTGAGTGAGAGACAGGAAACCCGGGTCCTCTTCTCAGTGCTCCCTGTGAGCTCGAGCAAGCGACATTCCCCCTCCACCCCGGCTTGCCCCGCGCGCAAGGGAGCAGCAAGGGAAACCGCAGCCCCACGTGCGATGCTCCTGCGTGAGAGCAGAGCGCTGCTGCTACGGCACAGACCGTGCGTGCGGCGAGGCCGCCGCTCCAGAGCGGGCAAACACAACCGATATCCTCGGGGGTAAGGAAGGAAGCAGACCTACACAGAGACCAGCAATTTCAGCAGAAAAGAGGGCCTAGGATACTTCAGGATTAGGGATGTACAATATGTCCCCTTCTCGTCACTCCCCTCCATCTCTACAAGTGACTTATCACTTCCAGGTAATTGGTTCCAGGTTGTTGAGTCTTTCTTCTATTTTATACATTTAATGCAGCTAAAAATGCTTTGCTAACCCTCTCCTTTGCAAAGCTGTGTGAACATGTATGACCCGTAAGCCTGATCCGTCAGGCTGCTGCCCCCTCAACCGCTGCAGCCTCCCCGGAGCGCTGGGCGCGCTGCACGCCCGGACCACGCGTCCCCATCCAGTCCCTGGGCAGGGCTCTCCTCCCTCCACGCTGCTCCTGCGGAACAGCCTCTACACAGGGAGCAGGACCTCGCAATGAAAGCAATGAGCGAAGCTCGTTTCTTGCAGATCAACTGCAGTGACTAACACCCTTGTTGCAAGAAACTGGTTTATGTCAGATTAAAATATTAATTTGATTTTTAGGCAAACACATACATATATCTGTATCTGATGGCATTGTCTTAATATCTGCTAAATCACAGCATTTGTAAAAACATTGAGGAAGGGATTGAAATAATACAAAACCTCACATATGATAATATTGCATGCAACTATATTAACAAATAACCCTATTGAAATGCTAACCCAAAGCATGGTGTGACACTACTTACATATACTCTTGCAGAATGCATGCATAAGGCCCACACAGGGTATTCTTAAACCATTGACTGGTATCTTCTATGGGCTATTTAAAAAGCACGTTGCATCTTCTAAACACAAAACTGGAATAGTTCATGTTATGTGGAACAGATTAGATCAACACAGACCACTTTTTAAATCCCATCATTCTGTTGTGGATTTCATGTTTTCTTCAAGTGTTTAATTAGTGATGGAAAACCCATAGTAATAGCTTTTGCAGACATGTTTTTATATCCTCTTAAGAAATAAAACAATTAATACACACAGCTTTTGCAACAAAGCTGTTTTGAGGCTTTTCACGCTTTCTTCACAAGCCTAAACCAGGTATCACCAGGCCAGAAACAAAGACAGCTATTGATGTGGCCTACCCGGAGCACAACCAAGCTTCCCAAATTCACCCGCTAACTCAGGAGGTGGCAGGTGTCCTGCTTGAGCTGTGTGACCTTCAGCGTCACAGGGTCCGAACGACCTCTGGTCATTCTGCTGGTGACAGCCCAGCTGAAGGCTCAGAGCACCAGGTGAGGCCCTAGGAGCTCAGGTGGCACTAGAGAAGATCAGGCCTACCCAGGAGGTGGAAAGGAGGCCCCTGCCAAGGCCAGCAGTTCAGCCCCAAGGAGATGTGGAGGCGAAGGCCTCCAGGACACCAAAGTACAGGGGTAACAACTTACGGCGTTACTGGCAACACAGAAGCAGAGACTGAGGCCTAAATCACCGCCCGCTGGAGCCAGTGCGACCTGGGCTGGGCCCCAGCCTGGCTGCAGATCGGTCTCTTCCCAATGCGCATCTGCAAAATGACACAGTAGTTACTTAGCACGAATAACCCGCAGAGCCGACAAGCGCAGACTCTAGCCACCCGTGTTATCAGTTTAGCAGTCTGTACAGTGAATTTATAGAATAAATGTTTATAAAATACTGAATATTCACAGATAAAAATGTATACAAAATGCACTGCACGTTGTGGAAAAAAACCTGGTGGGTATGCAATACAGTATTATCACTACTCAGACCTCAGCTAGACTAGAAATCAGATTCCTGTATCTAGAATCCTGTAGTGTTCTATTACTGGACTGGTAAAATATATCAAAAAAAGAAAAAAAAAAAATAGTGCCACGCATGAAGAGACCACTGAT